TATTAATAATATTAAAATATATTAATTAAAATTAAATATTTTCAAAAATAATATGCCCGTGTAATTTTTTGTCCACCGTCGATAGATAGTAGTTAAACTCATATATTTAATCGACTCGCGCAACTCCCAATGCAGCAAATCTAAAAAACTGAGTTAAGGTGTAAACATGTTGTATTTAACTATATCTAGTAGTAGTATTTTTTTTCCACTTTAATAAATTAACATGTTGTATTTAACTATATCTAGTGGTAGTAATTTTTTCCACTTTAATAAATTACAATATTTTCTATAGAATAATAAATATAAGGATATAAATCACTGTAAACTTGTCGGGTGCATTTAAACAGATCCAACAAATTCAAACTAAGATAAATAATAAAAAAAGATTTTAAGGAACACCTTTTATGGATGATATTTTTTTTCAAGCCTATAATTGTTCAAAGAATGAGAAATGATTTTTAAAACAGTTATAAAGAAAAAAAAATGTAAATAATATTTTTTATGTACTTGTCAGATTATAAAATTATAAATCAATTATTTTCTAGAGCGTCATCATCTTTTTTAATATCAAGATATTAACAATTCTTAATAGAGTGACGAAATTAGTAGAGAAATGTTCCTTCCATAACTGAAGTTTTAATTATGAGTTTTGGGTATGTACTTTCTTTTTTGATTGGAGCGTTTTCTCCGAATAAACACTATATGACATAAATTTAAATTAGTTAAGCTTCAATATACATATAGAGTGCATTTTTATATTACTACTCTCTTCTGTTTTAATTTGTTTGTTCTACATTTATTTTTAATTCTCTTTTTAGAAAAATAAAATATTTCTTTGTTTTTTGTTTGATATTCTTTAAAATATTTCTACCAACTTCATTATTTTCATTTTTCTATGTCATTTTTTCATTTCTTTCTCTTGACAACTTTTCTCTTTTTCCTTTAATTTTTTTCCCACAAAAAATTAGTTATATCTTATATAAGAGAAGTTCCACACCTATTGGAGAGCACAAATAGACTCTTTAATTTGATCAATCATCCCCTCTTTTTCTCTTCTTTAATTTTCCAAGAAAAAAAATATACCAACAACAACAACAATAAATGGTCATGTATATAAAAAAATTCTTCAAGAAGGATTCTTCTTCTTACAACAAAGAAAAATTGTTGTTACATGATGAAAAAAGAAATGGTTGTTGTATTTACTTCAACAATATTCAAGATTTTGCTAAAAAAGCAATTGAAATGGGTAAAAATGATCCAAGAAAAATCATTTTTTCATTAAAAATGGGATTTGCTTTATTTTTTGTGTCTCTTCTTATTTTCTGGAAGGAACCATTTCCAGAGATTGCTCAGTTCTCAATATGGGCAATTTTAACAGTTCTTATTATGTTTGAGTTCACCATAGGTACTAAACTTTGACATCCCTATTTAAATTATATATACTGACAGTCAGTGTAATTAATTTTTTCTGCTTTATCATTGTAATTTAATATGTCAGAGATATATGTGTGGTCATATTAGAAGTGATAGGATCGAATTAGGAACAAGATGGGAGTAGTCTTCGTTGTGGATACGATACAAGATACAAAATTGAAATAATTCAGATATGTGATGAGAAGAATGCATCGGGGCATGCCCTAGTGAAGAGGATCGGAGTGATAAGTTGGCTATAACAGATATAAGGAGAGATAGAGGTAAACTGAAAAAAGTCTTGAGGAGATCTAGTTAAGCAAGACATGGTCATTTAGCTTACTGAGGACATGATCGCAGATAACAAAAATATGGAGTGATAAGTTGTCTATAATAGATATAAGGAGAGATAGAGGTAAACTGAAAAAAGTCTTGAGGAGATCTGGTTAAGCAAGACATGGTCTATTTAGTTTACTGAGGACATCACAGTAGATAACAAAAATATGAGAGTCAAGAATTAGGATAGAAAGTTAGTAAGTTGAGTGCGGTCTAGTTTCATTTATTGTTACTCATTTACAATCTTATACTTCGATTTTAGTATTATCTGGATATTTCGTGCTTCATTGTTGCTAGTTGCAACATGATATTTTTGCTACTATAATTTAACTGTGACACATAAATTGAGATAACGAGAATGTAAATGTTTTTATTTTTGGCAGGAGGAACACTTATTAAAGGATTTAATCGTGGTTTGGGTACATTATTTGCTGGGATGCTTGCTTTCATCTTTGCTCAATTAGCATTATGTGCTGGAGAATGGGAAAAAGTTGTATGGGTTTTCAGTATTTTTATCGTAGGTAATTAATTAAACTTTCTAGTAGCATAGATCCTCGTAAGAATTTAATTTATATACACCATATATAATAGGACAAATTTTTTATGAAAAGAGCTGGTCTGGTAAGCCCCTAGACCACGTACTTGTGGGCTAAGATGAATATTTTTTGGCCCACATAAAAAGTGAGTCAGTCCGATCTGGTCCATCAAATTTTAAAGTCTGTATGAATTAACACGGATCAGATGTTATTAATTAATGTCATTTACTTATTTATTTTGCAGCATTTTGTGGAACATATTTGAAGTTATATCCAACAATGGCACCATATGAATATGGATATAGAGTATTTATTTTGACATATTGTATTCTCATTATGGCTGGAAATAGGACTGGAGGATATAATGTGGCAATTTTAACTCGTTTAGCCCTAATTGCTCTTGGTGCTTGTATTTGCTTGATTATTAATATTGGTATTTGCCCTATTTGGGCTGGTGAAGATTTGCATCGATTGGTCGTTAAGAATTTCATGGATCTTGCAACGTCTTTAGAAGGTATATATATATATCGATATAAAAAAATTTCATATTTCTGAAGAACGACTTATATAATACTTTCTATTCTATTTTTTTTTTGGGTAGGTTGTATTGATGGATACTTAAATTGTGTTGAGTGTGATGAATCTACAAATCACTCGAACTATAATGGATACAAATCGGTCATCGAATCTACAACTCGAGAGCAAACATTGGTACGTATGGATAATTATATTTAGTATTAACAAACTATAGTTAGTGATGAATTATCGTAAAATTATATTAATTATACAAGTAATTAGCGATGAAATTCAAAATTTGTATATGTTTGAACAGCTTGGATTTGCTATTTGGGAGCCACCTCATGGACGTTATAAAATGCACAAGAATCCATGGAGAGATTTTGTCAAATTAAGCAGTGAATTGAGGCATTGTGCATTCATGGTTATGGCATTACATGGATGTATCCAATCAAAAATTCAGGTCTTATTCTCTAATTAACTGGTGTCGTCATATCTCTATATCGTTCTTAAAAAATGTGTTATTTTTGAAAAATTTGACACATAAAACTGATTCAGAATTTTCATTTAAAAAACAAACAAACATATTATTACTAAAAAAATGAACTCCAAAGTCCATTTTTTAAAAAGAAAAAAAAACTTGTTAAGATAGGTTTTTTATTGTTTTTTTTTAGTAGAACGAAGCCAAGAAAAACTTGTGTTTATCTATATGCATAACAAATGTATTCACCTTATTATATACAAATAATATAATTTTCTGACAGAGTTATTTAGACGAATCCCTAGATCCCCACATTATCACGTATCTGATATCATTTTTGGAAATCCAATCAACCAACATAGGGAAAGAAAAAATCAAAATATTGCTTAATTTTTGCATCCATCCTCCATTTTCGATGGAGACATGAAAAGAGGTCGAAATAATTTTTATATTTTAACGGGTTATTTACCATAATACTAAGATTGTCAAATTAGGATCACTATAAACATTCACATGTTATTATATGTATCATGTTAATATGATAGTAAAAAAAATATCATTATTTACTGAATTATTTAGGTTATAAAATTAGAATAACTAGAGTTATATGTTGTTGAAATTAAATTCTTAAATATATTTGCAGGCACCACCAGATAAGAGGAAGGTTTTTCAAAATGAGCTTAAAAGAGTCGGTATCGACGCTACAAATGTTCTACGTGAGCTAGGAACAAAATTACATAAAATGGAAGCGCTAAATAGTCATGAAAATATCCTAAAAGAAGTACATGAGACAGCACAAAATCTTCAGAAAAAAATAGACAACAAGTCATATCTCTTAGTCAACTCAAAAAATTGGGAAATTGGAAAACCAAATATTAATTTTGATGATTCATCAAATTATGAAAATGGTAGTAGTGAAAATTTGCCATTAAATTTTCAATCACTTAGTGAAACAGCCATTGACATAAGGGATTTGCATACTCCACAATATCCAAAAGATGAATTGGTCACAAAGTCCATGTTATTCAACAAGCAAAATCATTGGCCTTCATGTCTCTCAATACTTGATGGTGAAGAGATTGATACAATTGATGAAATTGAAACTTATTTAAGTGCTAGTGCTTTGTCTTTGGCTACTTTTGCTTCACTTCTCATTGAATTTGTTGCAAGGCTACAAAATGTGGTTGATTGTTTTGAAGAATTAAGTCAAAGGGCAGAGTTTAAAGAGCCCATTAGTGTAAAGAGTTAGAAGAATTTATCAAGTACTCCTTCATCGTTAACTAGATGTTTCAGATTCGAATTTCCTTGAGTATGGAGTCGTCTTTGTTAAGAAGCGCTTTTTCCAAAATGGGATTTTTCAGCGCGAATTTGAATCTAATCGAACTCCAATGTAAATATTGAACACCAAATGAAAATAATAACTCTTTATCAAGTATGTTCATGATGAAATAAGTTTGTGTGATATTATATAGGCAAAAATTGTCTTTTGTTTTATAGTTGTGTAAGGAGGAAAGAAGTTTAATTAGAAACATGAAATATGTATGTTGATGTATATATGAGGTATCTCTTTTATCGTGTATATATATATATACACACACTCGAGGCAAAAAAAATATTAGTAGTAATATCAAATTGCTCAGCTCTTATCATTAATTTTTAAGTTATGATTTGATTCTTCTTTCTACATTGAGATATAAAGAGAAATGGTTAATGAATGAGTCATAGTGCATTTGAGACTATAGTAATAAGGAGATCCTTTTGTAATGTTCTATACGAGATTTGATGATATTATATCAACACATTATTTTTGAGATGAAAAGAATAAAAAATATCGTTAATTTATCAAAAATGACTAAAATATTCTTTTTTAACCTTTTAATCGGTAGTTGCTTTTAATATTTTTTCGCTCAAATGTAACCTTATATAACTAACAAACTAAACTAATATAAATCTTGAATTTTAATTACTTTTTAAATTTTTTTTAACTTAGATAAGTACCATCACTTTTGTATTCGAATTAACCTCATCAAGTCATTGTCATTAATTAAGAGAGAGAATTATTTGGCTTATTTTAAGATTTGGAGGTCATTTGAGACTTAAGAGAGGCTCTTTAATCATTTTATCAATTTTTCTCACAGTAGTTGTATATTGTGTGTGGTCAAAGAAACATATGACTTAATCAAGGAGAAAAATGAAATTAATATGATAAATAAAATGTGACTTAATCAGTTGAGCTTTTCTTTGCTTGGTATCACAAATTATTTGATTTGAAAGATCCAAATGAGTAGCCAACGATCTCTAAATGGTCAATGCTTGACCTCTAACGTATTAGGACGTCTGACATTTTTCAAATAAATTCGTACGAGTTCTTATATTAACGTAATCCAAAAGTTATTATAAAGAAAGTAAATAAATTTACACATGATAGAGACTGCATAAGACCAAATTTACTTATTTTTGTTGTTTTCGCCAAAAGCAATTTAAACGTGAAAGTTATTTAAAGCGCCAAAACTTCTTACAAAATAGATTGGTAGTTGGAGTTCAAACATGTCGGCGCACAACATATGTTTAAATATAAATAAAACATCCAAACTATTATTCATTCTATTACTATACGGAGAATCTAATCAACCAACTGAACTACTGAAATCGAACCTCCGCTTAATTTAAAAGTGGGCTTGTTTATTTGCTTGCTTAACAGGCCCAATTGGTTTTAGCCATCTTAAGCCCAAGTAATCTTGTTGGGCCTAAATGAAAAGCGACCCATCTAAACATTACATTGTCATTTCATCAGTAGGCAAATATCTCTCTTTTCCATTTCTAACTCTTTCTCACTCTCTCTCTAGATTTTGACGAAATTCAAGCTCGAATCTCAGGCGAACGGCGGCAAAATTTCCACCGGTAACGATCTGTTTTCCTCCTCTTTGGGCAGATTTCTTATCATTTTCCGGCATAAACAGAAAAAACATGCATTAAAGAATCGATTTTTCTTTGGTAAGAGAGTGTTTGTGGAGCTTAATTGGTTCAATTTGGAACAAGCTGTTAACATCTTTCTAGTTTAAGTTATTTTTAGCTTAAATATTTGATTCCTAGGTGGTATTTGTTTTGTATATTTTCTTATTGGAATTCGCTAGGGATTTTGTCTAGATCTCAGATTTGGAGGTATGTTATGTTAGTAAATTGAGCGTTCCATTCGATTATTTTCCTGTTTTATGCGCTGGATTTGTTTTGGATCTGGCTGGTCAGATGAAAATTTGATTTTTTGGGTGGATTTAGGTCGGATGCTTTTGTAGTTTTGCTATAGTTGTTTGTGGATTCACATTTCGGAATTGTTTGATTGAAGTTTGGTGTTTGCAGCTCTAACAGAATCTTGAGAGGATGGCAATGGTAGATGAGCCATTGTACCCGATAGCTGTGTTAATAGATGAACTTAAGAATGATGATATCCAATTGCGGTTGAATTCTATTAGGAGGTTATCAACTATTGCGCGTGCACTCGGTGAGGAAAGAACCAGAAAGGAGTTGATCCCTTTTTTGAGTGAAAACAATGACGACGATGATGAAGTGTTGCTGGCAATGGCAGAAGAGTTGGGCGTGTTTATTCCTTATGTTGGAGGTGTGGAGCATGCTCATGTTCTTCTCCCACCTCTAGAGACCCTTTGTACAGTTGAGGAGACCTGTGTGAGGGATAAAGCTGTGGAGTCATTGTGTAGAATTGGATCCCAGATGAGGGAGAGTGATTTAGTTGATTGGTTCGTCCCACTTGTGAAGGTTTGACTATGACTATTACCATTGTTTGCTCCTTCATTTTTATGACATTAGGGTAGTTACGCAAACATACAAAGACCTTTACTTGCTTGCAATCCCTAATATAATTCTAACATGTGAAACTCTGAATGTCACCCATATATGTTTTTATCTTTTCACTTGCAATCTCTAATATAATTCTAGTCTGTGAAATTCTGAACATTACTCGTATGTATATTTTTTTGTCTTTTACTTAATATCATGGTTTGTGATTCGTCAAATGCTTATACATCTTCCTATTCTTTCCAATCACTAGAGGCTAGCAGCTGGTGAATGGTTCACAGCAAGGGTTTCTGCATGTGGGCTCTTTCATATTGCTTACTCAAGTGCCCCAGAAATGTTGAAAGCAGAGCTTCGGTCTATTTACAGCCAATTGTGTCAAGACGACATGCCTATGGTGCGAAGGTCGGCTGCTACAAACTTGGGGAAGTTTGCTGCTACAGTTGAATCTGCTTACCTGAAGAGTGACATCATGTCAATATTTGATGATCTTACCCAGGATGGTAATATATTCACTTATATTTAGCAACTTATGACTAGAGAGGGTCTATCCAAATTTCTCTCTTTTAAAGGTTTCTAAGTTAGTTTCACTTTATGAAGTTGTTGCTTTTTAAGTTGATATTACTTTATATAGCCTATTTCTTACAGCAATAAAATAATTATTTTTGGTTAAATGTGAAGTTCCTTTAGGATGCGTTTTAGTGTGGAATCAATTGTCGGTTTTCTAGTGTTTTTTTTCTCAAAACATATTTTTGTTGCTTATCTAATGTCTTCTGATTCCAGATCAGGATTCTGTGCGCCTATTAGCTGTTGAGGGCTGTGCTGCACTTGGTAAGCTGTTGGAGCCCCAGGACTGTGTGGCACATATCCTGCCTGTCATTGTCAACTTCTCTCAGGTACTCTCTAGTTTGTGTTTGAACTTTGGAGTCGTGCTGTCCTGACTCATGCAGATCCTTGAAATCTCGCACCTTGCACCATGCTTTAGATTCTTTTGTTCACTTATAAAAATAATTCCATCATGTAACAACTTCTTTTTGATGGTTGATTGAGCTCCTAGTGAAACAATAACTTAATTTCCTAGTAGTTATCATCTTTCATCTAAATAAATATAGTTCTCATATCTTGTCGAATCTCTATTTAATTATGCACATTAGGCGTGCCCTTTGATCTAGAGTGTGTTTCCTCACAAAGATATAGTCCTTAAGTTCTTTGAATGTCACTAAAGTCACGCACACATGGTTTAACAGTTTGCTGTGCTCTGTCATCTTATTCTTCTCCGATGTATGTGATATGGAAAAGAACCGTGTATTCAAATCCTAGCCACTCTCTTCATATGAGCTTTTAGGTAGTAGCATAAGCTCTCTGAATGTTTCCGATGTATGTGATATGGAAAAGAACCTTGCATTCAAATCCTAGCCACTATCTTCATATGAAGCATTTAGGTAGTAGCATAGGGTTAGACTAGGTGAGCCTATCTAAAATATGATGGGGATCATAAATTTATTTTGGTGTATTGCTTGCCGTTTTTCCACAAGCTGTCTGAGTAGGGGAATGAGAAAAGAATCATGGATGAATTGCTTGAGTATAGGCTCATTTAGGTGAAGCCTTTATGCTAAATCTTGGTGGTTCAGTCACCTTGTTAAGTTAGAGTGAGTTTGTTCCAAAATAAGCTTTACAGGATGAATGTGATATGATGGGTCTTCATTACAGTCTTTGTACATTTTTACTTTGTTTACAGTATGAAATATACGAATAAGTCTTAACATAGTAACACAATATGATTCCAGAGAACGCTTGGTGCACTTGCCTTCATTTGCTAGCGGAAAGTACAGTTGTAGGAGTAAAAAATAGGTAAAAAAGCGCTAAAACTGAAGGATTAAACCTTTCGGTGATCCATTATATTGGTTTAGCCTTGATAAAAGAACTTACTGTAGGTGTCATTATTAAAGTTTTGTGATAATATTGAGTACTATTATAGTAATGATCCTCTCTGTCTTGAAGAATCTACATATTTTGGATGGAAATTTCATTTGTTCATAATTTGTGTTTTTCTCCTAATAACCAGGACAAGTCTTGGCGCGTTCGATACATGGTTGCTAACCAGCTGTACGAACTATGTGAAGCTGTTGGGCCAGAGCCCACTAGGTACTTTCTCAACTTAAATATGTGATACTTCAAGAATATTTACCATATGATGTCTATCTATGGAACCCATATTGTACCTGATTCTTATCATTTTATGGCTGTTTTCAGTTAATTTTGTTCTGTAAACAGCGACAACAAACCAGTGAAATCCCACCAAGTGGGGAATTTTAATCTAGGTTTACTTGGTATGTTGAACCTTTCACATACTTGGATAGACATACACTGTTGTACGTCCATTATGCTCTATTCGTTGACCTAAATGTCCTCCTCTGAAGTGGATCTGGTGGAATGAAGTGATAAGCTATTACAAGGGAACCACAACCGCTTTCGTTCAGATGCGCCAGTACATTTAGGGTCTTGTCTTGGTTGACGAGTTCTGTAATTTGGCCAATGTCGACTCTGCCCCCCACCAAATTAAAAAAAAGAAAAAGAAAAAGAGAAAACTAATGCCTGCGAGTTCTGTTGGCCAAGTGGGTCTTAACAAGGACACTTCTTTTCCATGAATACTTTGTTAACCTCTTTGATAGTATTTTTTCAATGAACAACGGGAAGGGCAATTGACTGAGGAGCTCCATGATATAAATTAGTAGTAGTTTAGGAACATATTGATTTTGTTTAGACCAAGGACTTTTTTATAATTGATGTATCATTGTTAAAGTAAAAATTAATTTTGAAAACATGCAATATACTCTAGTCCCTGAAAGTTCTATTCATCACATATTGGACTGTTGAGTCATAATGTTTAATCAGTAGAGAAATATGCTGTTCATTCCCTGTTCATGCTTCTCTATGTTTCTGCCAATGAATCACTCTCTCTTCACACCAAACTGTTTATTTTTGAAAATTCGAGATCTTCGCTGTTATGTCTGATTGTGTCTGACCATGGTCTAGGACGGATTTGGTGCCTGCCTATGTCCGTTTGCTTCGAGATAATGAAGCTGAAGTTCGCATAGCTGCTGCAGGAAAAGTAACCAAATTCTGCAGAATTCTTAGTCCCGAGCTTGCGATTCAGCATATTCTTCCCTGTGTGAAGGTATATGCCTGATATATTTCCTGTTTAGGAGCTTCATTTTGCATTATTGGTTCCTATTTATCCTCTAATATGTATTTGTGTTTGACAAATGTTATAGGAATTATCATCAGACTCTTCACAACATGTCAGATCTGCTTTGGCTTCCGTTATAATGGGGATGGCTCCTGTTTTGGGAAAGGTGAGGTGCATTAGCTTCTAGATATGGAAAATATTGATAATGCATTTTTACGATGGATGGTAGATGCATTGTAGGAAGGTCCGGAAACTGTGGTATGTCATATACTAATGTTATGCGTTGCTGAAGATAATCTCTATCTTGGGAAAGCTTTTCACATCATGCAATGCACATCCGTTTTTGATTGAAGCATTAAGATTTGCCTATAAAATAATTGGACTTCTATTTTTTGCGTTTGATGCAGGATGCAACCATTGAACATCTTCTTCCAATATTTCTTTCCCTTCTGAAGGATGAGTTTCCCGATGTGCGCCTGAACATCATCAGCAAGCTTGATCAAGTCAATCAGGTTGGTGAACGATCACACATTTTACCTGTGGTCTGCAATTAATTATGAGACTAGTGAACTGTTTGCTGCTTGATTTTGGAACTGGCTAGGCACATGTTGTGATGTGTATTGTAGTGATGCACGAACTCCTAAAATAAAAAGGCAATCAAAATCCTTTTAACATACTGAACTCTATCTGGTATACCATTTTTTGTTCCCTAGTATTCTCAGTGTTTTCCTAGTGTGTTCCGATTACTGTACTATCTGTTGTTACTTGCTGTATTTTCTTCTTTCTCCTTCTTCTTGTACCTAGATTTCCTGCACTTGGGCCTTCTAGTCCTTTTGTAAAATTTGACATCACGAATCTCCGTGTTGTAGCTGCTTGCACTTTGCGTTGGTTCCTAGCACTCAACTTTCAAATTTTTTATTTATTAATTAGTATATTTTTGTAGTTTAGTTTTAATTCTTTCCTAATTCTCAAGTTCTCTCAATGTTACAGGTGATTGGAATTGATTTATTGTCCCAATCTCTGTTGCCAGCTATTGTTGAGCTGGCAGAGGACAGGCATTGGCGAGTCCGTCTTGCAATAATAGAATACATACCTCTATTGGCAAGTCAATTGGGCATAGGATTTTTTGATGATAAGCTGGGTGCTCTTTGCATGCAATGGTTACAGGACAAGGTTGGTATTCGATAAACTGGCTGTTAGATATTTATATAAAATTGATGAACCATAAAACTTTGATCTAGGTGCATGAGAAGCTTCGTTGAGAACTTATTTCTATCTTTCTCAGTCTCTCTCTTCCACTTTCTTTCTTAATGCAAATGGAGAACGAGTTGGAACGTTTTCTGGAGTGGAATTACCCCCAACTTTTCCGTGATAGTTACTTTACTTTTTTTTTGTTATCTATTGATGAATGTGAAAAGGCAATTTGCTTTTATCAATCAGTTGATGGGACAATATCTCTGCCACTGATATCTTCCTTGCCGATTCTTTGATGCAGGTTTATTCAATTAGAGATGCTGCTGCTAATAACTTGAAGCGTCTTGCAGAAGAATTTGGTCCAGAGTGGGCAATGCAGCATATAATTCCTCAGGTTTGCTTGGCGTGTGATAATTTGGATTGCTAATTCTCTTCCATGATATCTTTTTAAAAATCAAACAAGTTCAGTGAGGCATATAAGATATAGCTTCTCTTACTACATGAAGTTGATGGGACCAAGGTGCCATGAGTAGAGGAGAAGGGTAGAGTTGATCACTCTTTTGATAGTTTTGAATTGTATGTATCTATGCCCCAAAATTCTTATTAAAATCTGCATTGCCCTTCCCTGACTTTGAGAAACTCATTATAGTCAATCATACGCTGGTTTCCTTCCATCTTTCTCCTGCTATCTGGAGAGGTGAAAACTGAAGATTTCAGGAAAGGAATTAGGTGTGCACCTGTCCATCCTTCTATTTAGGAAGTTTACCTCTTAGGCTGAGAATTAGAGATGGAAAATAATTCTCCATGGCCTCGTAGAGTCTTAAGCTCCAGCTTTTGCCATGATCGATTCCAATTTTGTTCTTTGTCTCAGTTAGAGATGTCTTATTTTGCAGGTCTTGGATATGACTACCAGTCCACATTATTTGTATCGAATGACTATTCTTAGATCAATTTCATTGCTTGCACCAGTAATGGGCTCTGAGATAACTTGTTCTAAGTTGCTACCTGTGGTTGTTACTGCTACAAAGGATAGGTAATTTTTCTTTCTCAGTGTTTAACTGGTTCTGTACCTCAAGTCCTTGAACTAATCAAAAGTTTTATCTAATTCCAGAGTGCCCAACATTAAATTTAATGTGGCAAAGGTGTTGCAATCCCTTGTACCTATTGTTGACAACTCGGTGAGAATCCTCTCCTCATTTCTTGTTTCTTGGTTGCTTATACTTGGTTTGTTTTGGGAAATGAGTGAGCTCCTCTAAAAGTTACACTCTTCTACAAAGTTACATTCTCAAAAAGCTAAGATTCCAAAGCTTCTCTGATAGTTTTCCTATAATCTAACTGTCTGTGGTAATTTCAATTGTCTAGGTGGTGGAGAAAACCATTCGGCCCAGTTTAGTAGAGCTAGCCGAAGACCCTGATGTCGATGTTCGCTTTTATGCCAATCAAGCACTCCAGTCGATCGATAATGTCATGATGTCAGGTTAGAGAAGCTAAACATTGTCAGGTGAGAGTAGTACAAATCTCTCTTCTAATCCCTCTTCAGTAGTCTTGGATTATGCTCTCACACGAAGAAGCAAAAGGGGAAAGGTACAATGTAAAATGCATCGTGTTGAGCTTGGTGTCGTATATTGTTGTTACTAATTCTTTTGTAGGATTCGGCATTCAAGATGCTGTGACACTAATGAAGACCTGAGTGTTTTTTCATGTAAAGCTGCTGCCATACTTTACTATTTGGATCTGCTAAGCTCAATTTGTATTTGTTTTTGTTAGTCTACTTTTGAGGTTTGAAACTACAACAATTTAGCTGTGTTACTCTAAGCAAATTTGTCGTTATATTAGTGTTTGCGTTTCTTAGCTTAAAAATATTTCTGCACTCCCCCCTCCCCCCATCCCATCTCGTTGTAATTTCTACTTTACGTCGTTTACTATATTTTCTTAGACCCACAAATATGTGGGATGGGTTTTAAGTACTTACCTTGGTTTACATCGAATCACCTTTTGAGGATTAGTGTTTAAATAAGGTTAATAATGTGTATTGTTTAGCTTAGATTAACTGAGATATGAAGAAGCTTGCTTTTTGTGTGTTGTGTAGATGTAAGAAACAGTGTTTTAATGTTAAATTCCCGGGCTTTTATTATGAAGAGCAGAAAAAATTGCCAAAAGATAGGCATTTCGGAAACCTCTCCATCCCTCAAGGTAAGGTAGGGGTAAGGTCTGTGTACACATTACTCTCTCTCTCTCGACCTCGTTTTGGGTATGGATTTTGAATTTTACATAAGCATAATCGAATGGTTGGAAATTTGTGGACTATGTGTCTCTAGACCTCTACCTTCCTCCACATCCACTTAAATACTGTCTTCGAAATCTTTTAAAGCTACTTAAAAAAGCAATTCATTATGATATTTGGTCATGATTTTGATTTGGATTTAGAATGTAACTTTTTTTTTCTTGAATTATGTGGTTTTAAATTAAAGATTTGTAGGATGTATTAAAATATTCTTTTAATTTTGTGGTACTGAATTCTTTTTTAAAAAACAAATTGAAATAAATGAAGTATTTATTTTGTCAAACTGTTTGGCAATAATGTCTTTTTCGTTGTAGTAATTGGTACCCTCAACACAGTACAGTTCTTGGCCTTACATTTTACTTACCACCAAATTCATTTTTCTTAGTAAATACTTTTGACTTAAATTTTACATAGGGCACCTCTCGACCTTACATTTTACTTGCCACCAAACTCATTTTTTTTTCTTAATATATTTGAATAGTGACGGCAAAATTACCCCTGAAAATATAATTCGTTAAAGTGAGTATGTTAGGTTGATATCTAGTCTTTATCACACGTTTGTTTGTTCTTGGGGATTACTTAAATTCGAAACTTTTAGTAATATTTGAACCATCAAAAACAATGCGTGCAATGCTTCAATATTATATCCCTTAACCTAACCCATAAGTTTGACTGTTTCTTTAAAAAATCAACTATCTGCCTAGACTTAGGTTGGTAAGATCTAAGTATCTAGCCATACGCCTATCACAGTATCACTATACAAAATTTTTTTTTAGAACTTTGTCGCTAAATAGCTCATAACTAACAATCTTTTGTTATGATGTATCGTCAAATAAGATTATCTATGAATTTTACTGTTTAACTACAAAATCCATATGTTGCTCACTAGGTCTTATTTCCTATTAGTATATAATACTTAGTAAACAATAGGTTATGGCACATGAAAAAGGGAAAAAAAAGTGAGACTTTTACACATGGTGGTTGAGACATAGTTAACCTTAGAAAGGTGGATGTCATGCTTATAAACTTATAATCCTTCAACCACCAAAAAGCTACATTTTTTTATTTTTCCCCCCTATAAATAAGAGCTTCACTTGAATACATTTTCCCATAAAAATCTAACAGTCTCATCTTATACACTTCTAAAAAAATAATAAAATTAGCGATAGCTAAACAACAAAATCTGTTACTAATCCTATTTAGTGACGGATTAGCAACAATTTTCAATATTTTTATTTAGTTACCAGCAATTCAACGACGAAGTTCGTACTATATATATATATACCATTATGTCTCTTCTCAATAATAATATCGTGTCTCTTTTCTTGAGTACCAATAAATCAGATGGAGTAAGAAGAAAAAGAAGGAAAAAACCCTATCGAAGTTTGCTGGTACTTTTTCTAACTATACAAAACTTTAGATTCATGTTGATAGTTAAAATCACACTAGCTACGATTTTTAAAAAAAAATAGTTTTGTGACTTTACTATTATTATTATGACTAAAATTTATCTAGTTTGAAGCCAAAAAAAAGTTTTATTGTGATTTTAGTGTTATGATGAGTAAAAGTTTAGTGACTATATGTGAAATTTACCCTCGTATTGCCTTTGGTTGTAGTAGAGGCGGATCCACTATTTTAGTTATGAATTTAGTAGAATCAATATATTATGATAAAATTTTCATCTACTATGTCTATATAGAAAAATTATTATCGCCAAAAATTGACAAATTAAATATTTTTAATCCGCCTCTAGGTTCTAAACTTCTTCTTATAGTGTTATTGTTATTTCTTTTCATCTTCTTATTTTAATTTCTAGCTTGTTAGTTAGGGCTAATGACATCTAGACAAATCTTCTAAACTATTATGCTATATACTTATAATTGCAAGTATTGAAATTAATTCATGCAAACATAATGAAAATATTACACACAACAAAAAGTAATATATATACCTAGGTGATATTGGGAATATATTTTCATCATGTTAGTACGTTTATTTGGTTTAGAAAATATAGAATTTAAATCTATCCTCCTTTTTTTTTCTTTTTCAGGATACAATTAGATAAATCATCTGGAACATTCATTTGAGCAAGAAAGTCAGAGTTAGTAAGACGATGAAGGTACGAGGATGATGTTGTTTTAACCAACCTCAACCTCGGACCTTCATCTATAACGTCAATCATTACGCACGACGAAGCGTTCATCACCTCTATTTCACATAATATTTCACTCAAAGAAAATTTTGTGCATGGCCCAAAGACAACATGAAGTTTGTTAATTAGTTGAGGCCTATATACATAACACACAACAAAAAATGCCTTTAGTGGCATTAGATTCAAGATTTATAATTTTGTTGATTCAATATTAAAGATTATCAACATTATTTTCATTATATTATTATAGTTATGAACTCGTATATGTTATTTATTGTAATAACAAAGACCTTATGACACTCATATTCAGATTAATTTAGGTTATGGGTGTAAATAATATATGAGACAAAATCCTCTTAAACTTTATATTGTAATTGACATTTTCTCATCAATAATTCTTATTTTGTCTTAATTTGAGTTTCTGGAACAGCAATTATTGTTTTCTGGTTCAATGCACACATATAATCTTTTCAATGAATAATTAAAGTGCTTTTTCGTGTTTGTCTTCTTATCAATGTCATTTTCCCACTTGTTTAGATCTAGGGAATCAAACAACAATGCCATATCCAGTTGTAAAACATACAAATTACAAATAGGATATGAAAATAGTAACGTTTACTCAATTTTATTTTTTTTATAACGGTAGAAAAAGGTTTAGCTAAATCATAAATTCTATCAAATATTATGTATCGAAAGGAAATACAGTGATGAAGAAATGATGTTAAAACTTCAACTAATCATAGTATTTCATTGTTATGACTGTCCTCATTTATGTATTCTTTTTTCTAAACTTTTCGGAAATGTTTAATTTTGAGCCAAGAGGGTATATCGTATACAACCTCTAAGGTTTGCCAACAATATTGTAATATCATAAGATTATATTGAGTATATATATATATATATATATAAAGGTCATGCTAAAAATAAAATAATAGAGCAATAACAACAACTAATACAATATTAAAACAAAGAAAATAATAAATAATTATACTATTAAATAATACTCTATTCGTTTTAAAAAGAATGTCCCTATTTCCTTTTTAGTTTGTTCAAAAAGATTGATCTCTTTCCTTTTTTGGCAATACTTTAACTTTAACTTTCTACGTGACAGTTTAGAACCACAAGCTTAAATGACATTTTGGTACATTTGACATAACTTTAATTTAGAACGACAAAATTAAAAAAAAAAATTTCTTTTCTTAAATTTCGTTCTAAGTTAAACTATGTCATCCTTTTTGAATCGGAGTAGATGATATGAGAGCAATAATTATAACAATGATGATAAATAAAACCATAATTTCACTGTTGAAATAATATTGTTTTAACATATACTCCTGCTTTCCATTTCACATATTTGCCATAGTTGGAGTATAAGTTTAATCTTAATATTTATATATGATTATGTATAGGACCTTTGAAGTCTATAACTCATGCAAAAGTATTGTGTGATTATAAAATTTTCCTATTTGTAAGAAAAATAATGTAAAACTCCATTTTTTAAATTTGAAAAAGAACTAACATAATGCCAAAATAAATACAACAGAGAAAATAATAGTATTAATTTCTCTTAATACTTATACTGGACAAGTCCACGTGCCCATACGAATGCCATGTCACTTCACTAGGACCAACCTTACGAAAGTTTGATTAAATATAAAATTCATAATTTTTAAGATTAAAGTAAGTATCTATGTGATTTGAAGTATCATATGATATCATATTATCATCATGAGATAGATCAATAGTTCATAAGAATGATAAGTGACATGTTATAAAACATCTCTATAGTAAACGTAGATATGTAATTCGTAGAAAATGACAAATGACATGTTACAAATCATACATTGTTATCTAGTAAATATAGATTAGTAATTTATAAAAAAACGATAAATGACATGTTACAAATTATACATTATTCTCCATTGTAAAAATAAATCATAATTCGACAAAAACAATAAAATGACATGTTACAAACCATACATTATTCTTTATGCTAAATATAAACCATTATTTCTTACAAAGACGATAAGTTACATGTTACAAATCATATATTATCTACTATAGTAAACATAGATCAGTAATTCATAAAAAAAATTAGAAAGGATAAATTATATGTATATATAACTTAAATCCTTTGATTTTATTTTGTACATTCTTGTCATCAGATTCAACTGATAAAACCTTTAATTTGTTCAATCAACTCTGTTGTTCTTGTTTGTGCAACTTGAGATTTGCTTAGTACTTGAAATGCATGGCCTACACCTTTAAACATAACATATTCAACAACTTTTTTATTACTAACTCTATTTAAAGTAGCACAAAACTCCAAATTTCTGTCTCTCAAAATATCTAACTCAGATATACACACCAAGATTCTAGGAATATTCCTTGTATCCACC